ACTTGAAAACAACCGCTAAACTTGCTTTGTTTGTTTGTTAATTTGGACCTGCACTAAAGTTTCACCGCTAGATAACAAGAATTCACTGAGTAGTAATCACATCTAGGACCCGGGTTGACATTAAAACCCGAACCCGCTATACTACACTTTAGGAAGTGGTTACACTTGGCCATTTTCTAGAGTGACAGTAGGAGTGAGTCACGTAGCTATAGCTGGAACTGTTTAGTTGATTCATTTCATGATTATGAGTATAAACTGGAGATTCAGAGTTTGTGTTTTATGGTTTATGGATTGAAGTTGGCCAACTGTTTAAGGCTTTACATTTGAATTATAAAAAATGATTTTTTTTATTTTTAAGCAATTTTACTATGCTCGAGAGCTAAATTTTTATATTTGTTGTTAAAAGGATAAGGATATCATATTTTGGTAACAAAGTCGACATTCCTTTGTTCCTTGGTGTCCAAGGAATACTGGATTGACGCTCTAAGTTTTTAAAGGTTTCCGTTTTAAAGAAAAGAAAAAGGGGTTTCAAGTTAATGGTTTGGCCAAACAAGTCAAATGTTTCTTTTGAGGATTTAGAGAATATCTAGTATACTCTAATCATGATAAGACAAATAACTGTGGTTCCAACAAGATCTTTCTTGCTTTAGAGGGTGTCATAATGATGGGCAGATGAGGGCAGATGATGAGGACCGGGTACTATTGACAGTGTCGCAGCTGCATGGAGCTGCTTATGATTGGTGGACCGCTCAAATTGCCGGTTAGGTGGACCCACCGACCATAGCCTGGACCAAGTTTGTGGAACTGTTCTGAGGCCACTACGTGACAGAGGCCTATCGGAGCGCCACGCAGAGAGAGTTCCTAATGATCAGTTAGAAGCGGGAATGTGAGGAAAGGGAGACAGTGACTGAATACACGAGTTTTGAAAAGTTGCTTGCCTATGGAGGTCCACAGTTTTAAGATGTTCGGATTCAGCTTAACCACTATCTGGAGAACCTAGGCCTGGTCTTAGGCAGGACTTGAGTGTGCATGGCTTCACTATACGACAGGAGGTTTACTAGGCAGCTCTCCAGCTAGAGAGGGTGGACAAGAGTATCTATGAGGAGCAAATGCGGCAGGGAGGGCAGGCTGGTGGCCTATAGGAGGGGCCTAGTCAGACCAAGAGGAGGCCGAGTGGTTCAGCTAGCTATGGAGGTGTTTAGAGTCAGACTGGTTCGATCCGGCCAGGCCAGACTGCTTTCATCATTGCAATGATCCCAATCATTTTGCCAAGGAGTGCCCTAGGAGGTTGGGGCAAGGAAGGGCTCAGTCTGAGCAGTTTGTTTGTGGCGGAGGAGGCATGACTCACACGGGTCATCAATTTAGCTACCAGCCAAACCGTTCCTTCCACATCCATGAAGGAAATGTTGGACGGTTCGACTGCAATGATCGAGACAAAGGCCAAAGGCCTTTAGCAGGGGGACAACTGAGACTCTTTTTGTGAGGAGAGATGTGGCAGAGGTAGCGTTGAAGGTGGTGACTGGTATGATTTGCCTTTATAGTCATCCAACTTTTGTGCTCATTGATTATGGTTCCACACATTCTTTTGTTTCCACCAAGTTTGCGAGAACCCTAGACTACCTCATGTGAAGTTAGGCCATAACCTAGAGGTGAGCACCTCAGCAGTAGATATGTTGATACAGTATATTATGTCATACATGGCTGCCCCGTTACAGTACCAGGGTATGATTTTGAGGCAAGCTTGATTTTGCTACCCTTTGATGAGTTTGTATCATCTTGGGCATGGATGGCCGTCCAAGAACCGAAAGATGGTGGATTTCTATAAAAGGGAAGTCAATATCCAGATTGAGGGTAAGGGCACAACATTGTTCAAGAGGACTAAGAAGCTGATTCTGGGAGGCTTAATCTCCATAGTGAAGGCTTTCTCAAGGACTAAAAAGGGTGTGAAGCCTACTTGTGCCATGTCAAAACGGTGCAAGATAAGAAGCTAGAGGATATACCTATAGTGAGGAATTATCCAGAAGTGTTCCCAAAGGATCTCCATGGGTTGCCACCACAGAGAGATGTGGAGTTTGATATCGAGGTAGTCCCGGGCAAGACTCCCATATCCATCCCTCCTTATTGCATGGAGCTGGTGGAGCTGAAGGAGTTGAAAGAGTAGTTGCAGGAGCTATTAGAGAAGGGTTTCATTCACCCTAACATGTCGCCCTGGGGAGCGCCAGTGTTGTTTATGAAGAACAAGGATGGCACACGAGGTTGTGCATCAACTACAGGAATCTCAATAAGGCAACCATCAAAAATCGTTATCCTCTGCCCAAGATTGACGATCTCTTTGATTAGTTGCAGGTAGCAAGGGTGTTCTCGAAGATTGACCTGAGGTCCGGGTATCACTAGTTGAGAGTAGAAGATGGCTCCATTCCTAAGACGACCTTCACCACCCGATATGATCACTACAAGTTTCTGGTCATACCATTTGTGCTAACCCATGCCCCAATAGCTTTAATGGCCTTGATGAACCCGGTCCTTCATGAGTATCTAGATGGGTTGTCATTGTGTTCATCAATGATATTCTCATTTACTCTAGGAGTGAGATGGAGCATGAGGAGCACTTGAGATTGGTGCTGCAGAGATTGAAGGAGGAGAAATTGTAGGCTAAGATCTCCAAGTGTGAGGTTTGGCTAGAGGAGATCCTGTTCTTGGAAACATATGATGTCTGGACGAGGAGTAGAGGTGGACTCCAAGAAGATAGAGGTTGTGACGAACTGGGCTCCACCAAAGATAGTCCTGAAGTGCGGAGTTTCTTGGGATTAGTTGGGTATTAGCAGTGGTTCGTGGAGGACTTTTCCAGCATTGCCAAACCTGTGACGTAGTTGTTATAGAAAGGGAAACTTTTGTATGGGATGAATGAAAGGTACCTGAGCCAATTCCTTCACCAGAGAATCAGAGATTGGTTGCCAAGGTTGGAGATGCATGACAAAATCTTTCATCGTCCAAGGAGATAGCAAAGAACACGCTTGCGAACTTGATCATCCCAAAACAATGAATCTTCAGAGTATCCGATTTGCCTCATGGACGATAATGGACTGAACTCCCCCCCACATGTCGTTCGTCACCAGCTTCATCGTCCCTTGCGGTAAAAGAGGGGGGAAGGAGAAAAGCCTCCCAAGTCCCAACCAGACTTAGCTGTGCATGAACGGGATCATTGTAAACATCAACGTCATCAAAAGCCACCACTTGATCCACGTCCATGGAATCCATCCTCACCACCAAATGTTGAATCAGGCGCTTCAAAAATCAATTGAAAAACTATACAAGAGCAAGGACAATCGCAAAAGACGGAGTCGTTTGGATGTGGAAATGTAATGCAGTAATTAGACTCAATTACCACATAATGTAGTAATTGGGCTTAAAACCCACGTTTGGGAGAGCAAAAATGGTATGGAAATTGGACCATGGAAATTGGCTTCAATTACCACATTCATGGTAATTGAGAATACTACACATCCCCCTAGTAATTTGACATTACCACGTTTTCTTACTTCTTTTTCCAAATTCCACACCATCAATTCCCACAAAACTAAACCCTATCCAAACGTGAATTTTTTTCAATTTCCACAAGTCAATTCCTTTGTTTTATAAAACATGGAAATTCTGACAAATTTCAACGTTTTAAAATTTCCACATCCAAACGACACCGAGTAGAAGATAAAATCATACATGGAAGCTCTGTATGGAGAAAATTGCAGAACCCAGGAAAAGGAGAAATTTTACAATGCTATATAGTATTGGTGCTATAGGGTTTTGCCTTTATGGTACAACTTCATATTGTACCAAGGTTGTCAACCCGCGGGTTGACCCACGGGTCGACCCAATTTGACCCTGACCCGGCGAGAAAAACGGGCCGCACGCACCCGCCGAGCCGACCGCTATAAGGTACCGGATTGGAGGTCAAATTGTATCATTTTTTTCTTTAGTTTGCGAAATGCTCCTATTTTTCAATTTTTCTTTTCGCCTAACTCAATCTTTGGAATACTAAGTTGAACATTTGAATATTTATGTTATATAAGTGTGTGTGAATTTTCACTATATGTTGGATCTAAGTACGATATGTTATTTTGGTGTAATATTATATGTTATAACTCATATGTTAGATAAGATTTGATATAATTTATGAGGATAAGTACAATATAATGACTCTTTTTATATTTCCGAGCCAAACCGGGCTAAAACGGTTGACCCATTAACCCTTGACCCACTAGCTCGACCGGGTCCGGGTCAACCCGCGGGTTGACAACCTTGTATTGTACCTATACTTTTTGTACAAATTCTTTTATGGTACAAGTTGAACTTGTACCTTTATGTGATGGTACAACTTCAAGTTGTAAAGTTGTACCATAACATAATGATACAAATTGTTTTATGGTACACCCTAAACTTATACATTTAATGTTATGGTACAACTTTAAGTTGTACATTAAAGCACCAATACTATATAGTATAGTAGAAGTGCTCAAGGAAAAGTCCCAACCTTTAGTTTTGTCACTAACCAAATACTTGAATCCTTCTGTAACCGATGCGCGGGAGATACACATGACTACTTGGCAATCCATATCCCACTCAGAGACCATGGATCGCGAGATTCTTGCGCTGAAAACTCGGTAGGGACGGGTAACAAAGCGAAACAAAACTTCAAAAACGAGAATCGAAGAATCGCAACTCTCCGAATTTAATTAATTTAATAATTGGAAAAATCAAAGGTAACAAGAGTAAGCGATGAGTCATGATTAGAAAAAGATCCAGCAACTCAAATCTGATATCCAATTCGGTCCAAAGCAAGTCACAGCCCAAGTAGCCGAAGCAAACGGGCCATAACTAGTGCAGACTGTAGAATAAGGCAAACAAAGAGAAACCCAAACGAAAAGCGAGAGCAAGAGAGGCGTCAACAGGCCGCCGTATTTAACAACCGGGATATTGCCCTAACAAGGGAAGCAAGGGTATAACAGCGCTGGTTAAGCACAAAAAAGCATAAGCATAATCAGAAGAATAAGAAGCAGAGGGGCCTTCACCTTCTTACGTCGTCCACGCGACGAAGAAAAAGTAGAGAACCTCTCATCCCGCCGGCGGTACGGTCTCACCACGGGGACGGTTCATCAAAGCGAAACGGAGGGCCTCGTTAACAGTCTGTGGTTACTCTAATTTATCGGAAAAAGCCGTAATAATGGTGAAGAAGAAACGCAAGGGCACCCAGTCCGGAGTTAGTGAACCCACCCGTATTCGAATTGGAGATATGCTCAGACGATTTCGTGCTTCAGAAGATCAAGGTTTGATTTTCAGAGACTAAATTTCTACCTTTTTCTCGCATTTCCTGTTCTTTTTAGCTTTGAAATTTCAAATGTTTGTTTTCTCTATGAGTGGGTGTTCTATAGGTTTAACTTTCCTCTTTTGCAATCTGGCGGTTGGTCATTTTTAAGTTTACGATCACGTTAGCGATTCTTAGAGGGAAATGAGAATGGCTTTGTTTTATGTATCGGTTAGCTCTCTGAAAGGTCCATAAAGCTTCAGAATTCTGGTGCGGGCTGGCATAAGTGCCTTTTCATTTCATTACCATGCAGTATTAATGATACAATATTAGTCAATTATATTCCATCCTAAGTTCCTAACTGGACAAAGGGGAATGGTCCGATGAGTGCTAGCTCTGCATGAAATCGTTGGTTGTCATTGATTTCCCTTCAAGTAGCCGTTACAGTAGTTAACGCTTGAAGTTTTCTTGAATACTGCTTGCAGTTCTCACTTTTGAAGCTGGCCTATCAGACACAGAGCGTGCTCTGGTGCACATGATTTCAAGGAAGTTGGGATTGAAATCCAAGAGTAAAGGGTGCGTTCTATGACTATTACGTTTCTGTTTCCTTGTTTAGTTTGGTTGACATGAGAACTTCTTGACATTTTAACAATTTGGCTCATTTTGTAGTTTATCTTTTACACCATTTTTCAAGGTCCCGTGAATAAGTAGAGTCTATTCCAGAGGAACTATTGTATTGGAATTGTTGCTCACAAGCTTGAACTTTTCTGTAGGAAAGGAAATGAGCGCTGTGTTTCTGTTTCCAAGAATCCAAAGAAGGAAAAGAAAAAAGGAAACAATGAAAATCTAAGCTGTTTGGCTTTTTCAGAAGGATCACAAATGATCTTACAGGATTTATTTTCACGCTACCCTCCTGAAGATGAAGACCTAAGTACTAGATTGATTCAGGAGAATAGGGGTAAACAAGAAAGGAAAAGAGGGAAAGATTCAATGTTCTCTTTGCCCTTATTAAGCAAAGATGAGATAAGAAAGAAGCTTAACTTGCTCAGTTCAATGGTGAAAAAGGATCCTCGTTTCAGACAGGTACTGAGGCCCCTGGCAGTTTAAATTTTTGCTGATTCTATTGCTTATGACTAAGGCTTAAATTTTTTGCAAGTAATTTATGCAACAGAAGAATGACAATAAGGTTCTGCTGTTTGTGCAGACTTTTGAATCAAGGTCTAAGCTCCCTATTGCATCCTTTAGCGAAGTCATCAGATCTACTGTTGATTCTAACCAGGTATATATATACTACCACTAAATCATGCACTGTCTATGTGAATTATGTCTTCACCTCCTTTTTTTCTTTTGAGTTGGCCTATGTCAGATTATAGTCAATGTACATCCTTGATATGCTATTATCCAAGTAATGTGTATGAATGTCGGTATCACGGAGTTTGATGGGGCTATACGTTGATCGTTGGTCTTGTTTCTGTATTTTAATAGGTTGTTCTCATATCTGGCGAAACTGGTTGCGGGAAAACTACTCAGGTGCCATCTCCTGCTTTGCATCTTTTAATTTTGGACTTAGGTCTGAGCTGAATGATATATCTTTTTTCCTGTTGAATGATCTAGACGGAAACTGTTAATTTATCTAAAAATTCATAAACTATGTCATTGAGTATCACTTTAGCTTATTTCTGATTTTTTTTTTTTTTTTTTTTTTTTTTTTTGCATTTGAAGGTCCCACAATTTTTGTTGGATCATCTCTGGAGCAGAGGAGAGGTGTGCAAAATAGTATGCACACAACCTCGGCGTATCTCTGCAATGTCAGGTGGAATTCTATCTTGTTACCCTAGCATATGCCAGTTGTTCCACCTCTTGTAAAACTTAAACCAAATATGCTCTTTTTGGTTTTTTTAGTTGCTGATAGAATCTCTCATGAAAGGGGCCAGATTACTGGGGATGATGTTGGATACAAGGCAAGTTTCATATATCATGTGGCGAGTAGTGTAAACTTTACATTAATTATTCTTGACAATATAACCACAAGCTGTGGTTTACCTTACCTTCGTTTTCAAATAGTTTCAACTGCTTATTGTCCATCATTGTTTTTTTGGGTTTGGTTAATCTGTAGTCACTCTCTTCTCCCATCACTTTGTTTCTCACTTGTAACAACTGTTCAACGTAATCTTCGCTTCTTTTTCTAATTTCTAGGCATTCAATTTCTACTGATTTGATTTCTGACTCACGAGTTTATTTTACTAGATTCGGTTGGAAAGTAAGGGAGGCAGGCACTCATCAATTGTGTTTTGCACAAATGGAGTTTTGCTTAGGGTGCTTGTTTCCAGTGGCACTAGTTTATCCAAGTCTTCGAGCAAGCATGATGTAGAAATGTCCGGCATAACTCACATTATAGTGGTACTCCCTCACTATCAATTTATCTGCCCTTATGTTCCTGTTTTCTTTTGTATTTGATTCCTTTCAAGGTCCTTTCTTTGAGCTAAGGGTTCATGTTTTCTTTTGTATTTTACTCAATAAGCAGTTCCCATTTGTCAAGGTGGTTTGCAATTTCTTTGGTTTGCTAATATTTTAGTTTACTCCTGTCAAGGTCCTTGATTTTGTTTTAGTTTACCTCGGCACTAAATTCAAGCAAGTTGGATCCTGTAGCTTTTTTTTTTCTGCAAGAGCTTGTGACCCCTTATGGCTTGTGGTGATTATTATTTCTCAAACACTTTCAGATAGGAGAAGATGAGATGTTCTGAGAGAGAAACATAATGGATGTGATTAGTTGGATTTGTGGAAGAATTAGCTCTGGTTTCGTAACGAAGAAAATGAAAAATGTTGATACTGTGTAACCTAAGTCGGCAGTTGACCTCTTACAACATGTCCTTGAAATGCTATTTGATTAAACTAGATAGAAAGAATCCCCACTTTGTCAATGGACTTGTTTGCATTTTTTCTAAACCTTTGTAATTCTCAAGCAATCCCAGATTTAACCATCATGTGCATACATTAACATACTGCCAGTTGTCAAAGCCTGGCCTTCTGATGATGAGATTTGCACTATGTAGGATGAAATCCATGAGCGGGATCGCTATTCAGATTTCATGCTGACGGTTATCAGGTACATCTAGATAGTTTTCTATTGTGATGGACATTTCTGTTGGTTCTTGATTATTGTTCTTAACAAGTATGCTAGTTTGCTTGGGTTAGCATTTTCTTACATTTTTTAATTATTTCCTGAACCATTTCTAATATGTGAGTCTTCTATTTTTATGTATTTCTATTTATTGATACTTAATGTTTGCTTGCAGAGACATGCTTCCTTTATATCCTCACCTCCGACTGGTTAGTTCAGATAATGCAGCTACATTCAAGTATAATTCTTCTGTATTTGAGCTTTAGCGTTTTGGAACCTATTAACGGCTTCTACCCTGAAATTTGCTTGGCAGATACTGATGAGTGCTACTCTAGATGCGGAAAGATTTGCACAGTATTTTGGCGGCTGCCCAGTTATCCGTGTTCCTGGTTTCACTTATCCTGTAAAAATTCTCCCACTTCGATTAATGCCATTTCATTTGAACTTAGATGATGGTTTGTTATATTGTCTTTCTTCCTCTCTTGTAGGTCAGAACGTTCTATTTGGAGGATGTACTTTCTATCCTGAAATCTTCAAGTGACAATCATCTTGATATTTTTTCTATCCTGAAATCTTCAAATGACAATCATCTTGATTCTGCTATTCTATCCTCCAGTGGGTGCTCTGAACTGACTGAGGAAGATACTGCTGCTTTGGATGAAGCTATTAATCTGGCTTGGTCAAATGATGAGTTTGATCTTCTCATGGATTTGGTGTCCTCTGAAGGGAACCCAAAAATTTATAACTATCAGCATTCCTTGACTGGGTTAACCCCATTGATGGTCTTTGCTGGGAAGGGTAGAGTGGGGGATGTTTGCTTGCTCCTCTCTTTTGGTGCCGATTGCCATTTGAAGGACAATGATGGTATGACGGCATTGGCATTAGCTGAGAGGGAAAACCAGCATGAAACTGCTCAAGTATTAAAAGGTCATGTCAGAAGGGCCCTGTCTGACCCCACGCAACAACAAAATTTACTTGATAAATATCTCACAACAGTCAATCATGATCTTGTTGATGTTATTCTTATAGAGCACCTACTAAAGGAAATATGCAAGGACTCTACAGAAGGTGCTATAATTGTCTTCCTTCCAGGATGGGAGGATATAAATAAAACCAGAGAGAGGTTACATGCAAACTCTTTCTTTGCAGATACATCTAGGTTTTTGATAATCTCTCTTCATTCTATGGTTCCACCGGGTGAGCAAAAGAAGGTTTTTAATCGCCCCCCTCGAGGTTGCCGCAAAATAGTCCTTTCAACTAACATAGCAGAAAGTTCCATTACTATTGATGATGTTGTCTATGTCATAGACAGTGGGCGAATGAAAGAAAAAAGCTATGATCCTTATAACAATGTGTCCACTCTTCAAACTTCATGGATATCGAAGGCAAGTGCAAAGCAAAGGGAGGGACGTGCAGGCCGCTGTCAGCCTGGAATATGTTACCATCTTTATTCAACAGTCCGAGCAGCTTCTCTACCTGACTTTCATGTTCCTGAAATCAGGAGAATACCAATTGAAGAGCTCTGTCTGCAGGTAAATATGTTAAACACTATAACATGTATCCTTCTGCATCTATTTTCTGGTGTATTGCTGTAGAAAGGGAGAGTTACTAAAATAAGATCTATTTATTGTTCTGAATTGCAGGTGAAGCTATTGGATCCCAATTGCAAGATACAGGATTTTCTGCAGAAGACTCTGGATCCGCCGATTTCTGAGTCCATCAGCAATGCAATTGGTGTTCTTGAAGAGATTGGTGCTTTATCAGCAGATGAGCAGTTGACAGAACTCGGGAAAAAGCTGGGCTGCTTACCTGTTCATCCGTTAATCAGCAGAATGCTCTTCTTTGCTGTCTTGATGAATTGCCTTGAGCCTGCTTTGACTATAGCATGTGCTGCTGACTATAAAGACCCGTTTACACTCCCTATATCACTGGATGAGAAGAAAAGGGCAAATGCTCGTAGGCTCGAGCTTGCTTCTATATATGGTGGATACAGCGATCAGCTAGCGGTGGTAGCAGCTTATGATTGCTGGAGGAATGCTAAGGAAAGAGGGCAAGCAGCAAGGTTTTGTTCTGATTATTATGTGTCCCCTGGCACCATGAACATGCTGCATGGTATGCGTAAGCATCTCCAAGGGGAGCTTATTCGTAATGGCGTTGTACCACAAGATGTCTCAAGATGCAGCACGAATGCGCATGATCCTGGCATAATTCGTGCTGTTCTTGTGGCTACTGTGTATCCGAATGTTGGGAAATTCTTGCCGCCTAAAAATGGTAAACGTGGTGTCATACAGACCACAGATGGTGCTAAAGTTCGGTTGCATCCTCATTCTCTTAATTTCCGATTATCAACTAAAAGAAGCGAGGACTGCCCCCTGGTAATATATGATGAGGTGACTCGTGGAGATGGTGGCACACATATAAGGAACTTTACTGTTGTTGGTCCACTCTCCCTTCTCCTCCTTGCTACAGAAATTGCAGTTGCTCCTGCAAATGACGATGTCGATGGCTATGACGATAAAGAAGGAAGTGATGTTGCTGACACGGATAGTGACGCTGAAGATGGAATAGAAATTGATGATGATGAGTATAATGGCAAGAAACTCATGTCTGCTCCTGATAATTCTGTGATTGTTGTTATGGACAGGTGGCTTCTTTTCCGATCGTCAGCCATCGATGTTGCTCAGATTTACTGCTTGAGAGAGCGGTTATCTGCTGCAATCTTATTCAGAGTTAGTAATTCTTCAGTATGAACTGGATTGGTTGTTAGGTGTAGAGATGAGGTTCTGTTTCTTCCACTAATTTCTTTTAACTCTGATCTGGTTTGTGTGGTTGTTCCAGGTAACTCATCCCCGAAAGGCGCTTCCACCTGCTCTTGAAGTCTCTATGAATGCAATAGCTCGTGTTCTCTCTAATGATGGGCTATCTGGGATTCCCTTGCCGATCCAATTTCACGGGATTGTCAACGGTGGAGATATCCAGAAGAACAAGCATAACGCGAAGTGAGCGGAGAGTTGATAAATCCAATTCCAGTTGGCCTTCACTGATCAACTGTTCCCTGGTCCAGAGCTTCCTAGTTCTTGTTACAGGGCTTATTATAGGCAACTGCACACTGGCCTGATCTCAGGGTAGTTCGTGGTTTGTTTAGCTGCAGTGGACAAAATCACAGTCAACACAGCGGGGAGGCGGGTTAGGGGTATCCTCTGATGCAGCCATTAAACAAACCACGTACGAAGCTCCAATAGTATGTAGCAAAGTTAATTAGGATTATGATTTTGTCAGGAAGAAGATTTTAATAGACTGTGTATTGCAGACAGTAGATAGTAATAGTACGATAATATGATGACTTGAGACATCTAAAAGATTGTAATGGCCTTTTTGTCACTCTAATAGTCATACAGTATAACTCAAACCAATGACACTTATAGGGTTCCTCTCTTACATGGTGAACGCGCACAGAGAAGGTTATTGAGTAGTATGATTGTCCTCAACACTCTCTCTTTCTATTGCGACAGGATTTTTCTTTGTTCGAAAAGAGCTATTCCGACTCGACTCTCAAGCAAAGAAAGACTTATATCTTTGCTTGTTTCGTGGTATGGACCAAAGCAAAGGTTTTGTTGCTATCGACCCCTACCCAATTAACCAAAAGTTTTCTTTCTTGCTTAAAATTAGGATGACAATGGGCCGGGTTGGGAGATAGTGCATATCCGTTATCCTACCCAATGTAGTTTGGATTTGGGTTAATACCTTATTTTGGCCTGAACTATGACCATATAATCAACTTTGGCAAGTGGTTTCAGAAATTAACATCTTGATCTCAACTATGCAGCATATTGACTAAATTGGCCCGACACATGCTTTGACCGTCAATTTGGACGGTCAACACGCCATGTCATTGCCTAGTCAGCCTAAAAATTATTAAAAAATTGAAATTCAAATTATTTTTCTAATTATTTTTATTTATTATTTTGAAATTAAACAAAAATTAAAATTCAAAAAATTTATAATAAATTTTATGTTTTATCTTTTGGGACACTTGATTTTATATTTTATTTTCATCTGCTTCTAAAATCCTGATCATGCCTTGAGTTCACCTAGGCCTAGTTTCTTGAACAATTTATACGGTATCACATTAATACTAGCACCTAGATTCGCCAAGGACCTCTCTACATGCAATTTACCTATAGAGCACGGGATAGTAAAACTACCTGGGTCCTTTTTCTTCTGCGGAAGCTTGTTCTGCAGAATGGCTGAGCACTCCTCGCTGAGCTCCATAGTGGCCAGCTCGCTCAGCCTCCGCTTCTTCGAGAGAAGCTCCTTCAGGAACTTCGCGTACTTAGGCATCAGAGATAGTGCCTCCATGAAGGGCACTTGAACATGCAGCTTCCTAAGCATGGACGAGAAGTTGCCGAACTCTGTCTCTAGCATGTCTTTGTAAATCCTGGTGGGAAAAGGGAGCTTAGGCTTATATTCAGCCACTACTGGTTGTGGCTTTGGAGCTTGAGCCTCTCGCTCCTTTTCCATCACCAGGTCTTCTTCCGGCTCTGGGGTGATTAGGGTCACCTTCTTGGCACTCTTCTGCAGTGCATCCGCAGTCACAGTCCCACTTCTCAGCATAATGGCGTGCAACCCCTCCTTATGATTTCCAGGATTCGGCAGGGGTTGGCCAGGAAGTGTGCCGGCCGGTCTGGAAGCAAGGGCATCTGCCAGGTGCCCGATCTTGGTGTCCATATCCTGCAAGAGTGCCTGCTGGTTTCTCTGGCCAGCTTCAATCTCCATGAATTTGCCTGCAGCAACTTCCATGAATTGCTCCAATTTATTGAACTTTTGGGTACTAGTGCTCACCAAGGTAGTCATTAGATCCCTCATTTCTGACTCGGGATCGCCCTGTGCTGGGACTGATGGAGGTGCACCAGGTTGCTGGTATTGCTGCTGTGGGGGCTGTTGAAAAGCCTGCCCCTGTCTTGGTTGATAAAGTGGTTGCTAATGTTGCATCTGGCCTGGGCAAGGCTGGTTTGGCTGCCTCTGGTTCGGAAAACTAGCTGCAGAAGCTTGGAATCCAGGTGGCTTCGGATTGCTGTTGCCACTCCAGGAGAAATTTGGATGTTGGCGCCATCCCTCATTGTAAGTGTTACTGTATGGGTCGTTGCGCCGGACATTGTTGATGAAGTTCACCTGCTCCTGGGGTGTACTGGACTCGCGCATGGCATGGCCGTCCTCTACAGTATGATGGGCGCTCTCGCACCACTAGCAATGCATTGCCGGTTGCTGCCCTGTCCCCAGAACTATCCCATTCCGATCGATGGCCGAGACCAGTTTAGACACAACCTGCACCAAATCAGAAGAGTGGGTGCCCACAGCATGTACACCTCGGCTTGGTGCTCGCCTCGACCTCCTAGCATTGCCCCAATCATACCCTTTCTCTGCCATCTCCTCAAAGAGCTTATTCAACTGCGGCCACGTCTTGGTCAGAGACTGGTGTGATTCATGATTGCCCCAAATCAGCTGCTTGTCCTCTGAGAAGAGGGCAAGGTAGAAGGTGCCCACCTTGAAAGCATCATTGAAACCATGATTGGGACATGACTCGCTAAAACACAACTCCTAACAATGGCCAAGTGTAACCAATGAAAGGGACTGCAGTATAGTGGCTCAAGTAATAAATATCGAATCCACGGGTCTCTAGAGTTACTATTACTCAGCTTCAGTTCATTATCTAGCAAAACAGATCAAGATGAAAGAACTAAAACTACTCTAGCAAACTACAGTTAAAGTTAATCTAATTACAGGTTGGGAACTCACTTAGGTATGATTCCCCCTAGCCACTAGCTAGATTAACGATTGATGATCTCTAACTTGTTTCACTTTCATTCACAATGCGGAGAATCCTTGACTAGACCTTGAGTCTCGACTAAAGGAACAAGGCCCTCTTGAGTCAATTGCCTAGAGGGACGTATCCTTCTCTAGAACAATCGATCAAGGCGTTCTGAACTAGACTCCCTCTATCGAATGAGGTTCTCAATCGATACAAAGCAGTGAATCAACCCTCGACTAAAGCAATCGATCCACTACTATCAATCTATGGTGCTCTATTGACCTAATCAGGTATTCGCTCTCATAGGATCAAAGCAGAATCAATAATCTCGACTAAAGCAGAATTGAATCGTGAAAACATGCATAGATTGAATATGAACTCAAGATTATCAAATCAGAGTACTCATACAATCATCCAATCAAACAAACATAGCTAGGGTTCCTCAAAACCTAAGTGAAGGGAAGTTACTCCATAGAGAAGAGAGAGACTGCAGTAAGAATCTTCAGATGATCAGTCTTCAAGTCCGGGCTTGATTCCCGAGCTCCAATGGCGAAGAAATCCTCCAAAATAGCTCCAAGAATGTTCCCAAGTCGCTCCCTCTCTCTAGGGTTCGTCCCTTGGGTGTTTGGGATCCAAAACCCAGCTCTCCTCTCCTTTGGCTCGAATTTGGGTTAAAAAACCCGATTCTGGGCAAAACACGGTCGCGGGCACAGCCGTGCTTTGCTTTTGACCGCCCGTGTTTTGCCCCGTGTTAAAAACACGCTCGAGCGCGTTGGCCAAAACACGGTCGTGCCTAAATATGGGCACGGCCGTGTTTTGATTTAGGCGCGCCCGTGTTTTTACTGCCGAACATGTTCCCCTATATTCAATGCTTCGTTTCTCCCTCGTCCGGACTCCGAATCAGTCGCCGTTTGATCTCGGACGCTCGTAGTCTCGTCCTCTTTCTTTTCATGACAAGCTTGCATGATTCTTTGTCCATAAAGTGAGGTAGAAATCCATTCTTCTCAAGGTCATGCCCGAGTTTCTGCTCCCGAATCGCCAATTGATCTCTGATTGACTTGAAACTTGGCGCCTATGCTTCACTTTATGTGCTAGGACCTGAAATATGACAAAGGAACACAACCTAGCATAAAATAGGCCAAAGACACGATAATTCAAGCTCAATCAATCAAGAAACAAAGGGGAAAACATGTGCAAATACCGAGTCATCAGGACACCTCAGGAAGAGACTGGTGTATCTCTCCCATGCGTCCCAGATGGTCTCATCTTCATCCTGGGCAAAGTGGGTGATCTGCTTCTGCAAGTCCGCCGTTTTTGACGGAGGATGATAGCGGGTGAGGAACTTGTCCGCCAGGTTGGCGAACGTGGTGATCGATCCAGGGGCCCTGGTGTCCAGCCACTCCTTGGCCTGCCCCTCCAAAGTGAATGGGAAGTACCTTAGCTGGATGGCATCGGCTGGGATCCTATTTATCTTTACTCCATCGATGAGCTCGTGGAATCGCCTCAGATGTGATCGGGGGCACTCCCCCTCTTTTCCACGGAATACTACCGAGCCACGCAACATAGTGATGACCGAGGTGCTCACCTCAAAGTTGTTGGCTGGGACTTGAGGGTGCTGAATGGGCGACCTCATGTCCGCGGCTCTGGCGGTCCAGTAGTACCCCATGGTTTGCTCCTCGGGAAGGACCACATCATGGTCCTGTGGGTCACCCATCCCTTCCTCCTCGGTGATTTGCAGCTGTGCTAGCGCCTTCTGCGCAGCCAGTCGCACCTTTAGAGCCCGCTTGAAGTTCCTACAGGTCCGTTCAAGCTCTTGGTCTAATGGTAGTAAATCTCCCGACTGGCTACGAGTCATGCACTACCTGCACACAATCAGCAAAAGCAACCCGTGAAGGCACAAAGGTGGAAGAGAGAAAATGCCGTAAAGTAAAAGCTAGAGTAACAAACTTTCACGTTTCCCCAATAACCTAGAGGGTCCCCGGCAATGGCGCCAAAAACTTGACACGCTAAAACACAACACCAAACTGCGACCAAATGTAATCGCAGTCCGGAAATGCAGTAACAGGCAAGCTCTAATTGTCAACCCGGGGTCTAGATCTACTGCCTACTCCGTGAATATCTGTTAACTAGCAAACTAAGTCGAGAGGTTTGATTTTAATTAAAGCAGTAAGAAAGCAGGAAATGGTTCGATTTTCTAAAGTAAAGGAAGAGTCACTCGGGAATGAGTCCCCCTAGCTCCTTAGTTAGGTCTCAGTTGTAATTACCCTGGGTTGATTAACTGTTGAGTAAACTACGGAAGATCCGATAGTAGCTTGGAATCTCTTAAGTTGACCAAGCCCTCTCAGGCAGGCTAACCAGCAAGCGACTAACCTTCACCGAGATAGCCCTCCCAAGTCATTACAATCAAGATCCCTAACACATGGAACTAGGGTTCTTCATACCCAAGTGAGAGAAAGTTCTACTCCATAGAGAGAGAGGAAAACAGTAATAAGAGTAGTCATACTCATAAAGATGAGGGATAATCTGCTCCGGGATGATGATCTTCACTCCTGGGGATGAAATCTGGGCTTCAATGGTGAGAAATCCAGTTCTGCCCAATCACACGGCCAGGGCACACGGCCGTGTAAAATCCCCAGCTGCCCGTGTGGAAGTGCAAAACGTCGC